GGCAAAAAAATCTGACAAATAGGAAGATACATTTATTGTGACATCCACATTAGACATCAAATCAAGAGATAATTTAAACCATTCTAACAAGACAGTTATGGAAGACATCCACTTTATTCCTATTTTCAATTCTTCAACCTTAAGCTGGAGTCCTTTCAACTTATTTGGATAACAAAGTCACATGCTTCTACAAAATCCCTGAGCATTTGTGATTTTTATCATATCAAAATTACAAGTCTACATAGGAAATTACATTATACCAATATCTTTATCAAATCTAAAGAGTGATGTATTTAGTTACACACACAAGTGAGCTCCTTCCGAAATGTCGCCTGGACTTTAAATGCATTTTACACCATACACAGTGGTAGTCAGGTAGTGAGTTTACAGCCTAGAATAATTTGGCAAGATAAAAGTTTATAAAATGTATCTCTGTCATATGACATGACTAGCTACACATACACAGATAAGAAATCAAACATATATATATTATATATATATATATATATAAATATATATATATATATATATATAAATATATATATATATATATATAAATATATATATATATATATATATATATATTATATTATATATATATATATATATATATATATATATATATATATTATATATATATATATATATATATATATATATATATATATATATATAATATATTATATAATATATTATATAATATATTATATAATATATTATATAATATATTATATATATAATATATATAATATATATAATATATATAATATATATAATATATATAATATATATAATATATATAATATATATAATATATATAATATATATAATATATATAATATATATAATATATATAATATATATATATATATATATATATATATATATATATATATATATATATATATATATATATATATATATATATATATAAAACCATACACACAATATATATACTTGCAGCTTTACACACATACACGCCCGCATGCATGCCAGCACACATATAAAATCACATGTAGACAAACACTCATATAGACTAACAGACAGACAGACACACACACACACACTCACACACACACACTTACACACACACACACTCACTCACTCACTCTTACTTACTCACTCACTCACTCACTCACTCACTCACTCACTCACTCACTCACTCACTCACTCACTCTATACCCTTATAGATATACAGTCCTCCTGCTACAATTCATGTAATTATGAATTAAGAATGAATGCCTAAAGAAACTATCAACCAGGATGCTTCAGTTTTCCTTAATCAGAAAACTCTCACATACAAAAAGGGACATTTTCTTTCCACCAGACAGAAGACTATACATCATCACCATCACACACAAATCTTTATCACAAGGATACACAACACTTTGGGATCATCTCACTTTCATATATCTATATAAAGGAAATGCACAGTCTAGAAAACCCAGCGGAAAGCACCTCAATTATCCATTTGATGGAAAAACTCATGTCCAAAGCTTTCCACGTCAATGATCATTTCAATGTGGTACGTATGCAACAGAAAATAAATAAATAGGAAGAGGGAAGCACCAGTGAAGAGTGAAAGACAAATGAAATGTAACTTCTTCAGCAAAAAAATCAAAGCAAATATTCATCTACAAAAAAAAAAGAAGAAGAAAAAAATAAAACACACAAGCTAAGCCTGAAGAAAATGGGGGAGGGGGGAAAAAAAAAATAATAATAATCATATCGGTAACAAAGTTATATCATGGATTACATTCCCACTCATCTATATCTCCTTTGCTACCACATCAAAATGAGAAAAAGTGAAAAACAAGGTAATGGTATCATACAAAATAATACTGAAAGGAAGTAAAGGGCATATATATAACCGAGACCTAAGGATCACATCACTTCGAAACGCTTCAAATAATTATATCACAATATGTGTTGGTATGACAGTATACTGCATATCTCTTAAGATCACATGACCTATCAGCCTACAAAACAACTTAGAAAAGACACACACATGCACACACAATACGGTCTGTTGATTGGCTACACAAGAGTCTTATTCTTGTCTAATAAACCACAACAATGATCAGTGAATAATATGGCAATAATATGGCCAAGATCTCCCCATTGTATTTACCAGTATATGATGGACACCCTCTCTTACCAGAAATAACGAATGTGAAAAATAGAAAGAAAAAAATTAATTAGATTAATAAATAAAGCAAAGTATTCTAACAGTCACAGCTAAGCTCTTCCTTAAATTCAGATATCTGGCAATGTGACTTTTTGACAATCAAGGCTTACAATAATAATATAAAAAGACAAAGAAAGAATGAAGAAAAACAAAAATATATAAATATATGGATGAATCTACTGTATTTTTCCCGATCCCTTCAAAAAGAGACATCAAAACCCCATTTTATCAGATCAACCGTAATCACTTAGAACTCCTATCATGGCACAATAAGATGGCGCCTAATTCTGCTTCTGAATTCTTGCAATTTTTGTGCAGTGTTTGCGCACGCACTGATCATGAGATGGCCCATTAGACTATAAATATGCCTATGAACACACGCTAACCCTTGCTCTTAATTAATAATGAATATACATGATTCTCCCCTCCCTCATTTTTACATATCTGAAAAGATGCCACCGAGATTAAATTTTCATCAGAAACACAAAAATTAACAAAGATATGGTACATGTGTCATTTTATGAAATTTATTTTCTATTTTACAAGAGACTAGACAAATTTCCTAAAGGAGAGAAAAGACCACAATTTTAGTCCTTTACAATAAATAGAGATTAAAATAGAGAGAATTAACGTCATACTATTTTAAAAGACTGAACACATGTAAGTATCAGACATTTATACAAATTGCTTGGTGGCTTAGGAACATCCATGGCATTCTTTCTTTCATTAACATAATAAGGCAAAAAGGCATGACAGCTACCTCAAAATAAGGAAAATAAAAGTTCAAAACAAAATATTTTCCACACACTTTTGCCTAGTGATTTTGCACATTTGTGTGGAAAATTTTCCTTGTCAATATTCCCTTAATCTATACTCCTTACTGGTAAACTTATTGTTACCATCTCCTGTCAGCCAACCAACAGATGAAACTTAACAAAACGAAGGCTTTGCAAAACAGAGACTTGGTTGCCAGATCTCTGGTAATACTGTGGCAAATAAACACCAGCTATGTCAGTCTTTTAACTGTTGATGATCTTAAAATGATTAACTGGAGTGCATATGCTTTACAGTGCTCAGTATCTGCATACTCAATATCTATTCTGCAACACAGAAGATGACATGAATGTGCATCATATAAAAAAAATTACAATATAAGCTATCAGAAACTTTTAACAAACAAACAACAGGTGTTCACCACTCTCTTATGATTTATGGGGACAACTTTGTGTAATAAATAAGCATATCTTTCCAAAGCATGCAAAGCAATATCTATACACTCTGGAAATGTGAAAATGAACACTTTCAATATTGCATTTCAAAATTAAATAAGAGTGAACACATCCATTAAATAATAAAAAACAAAAACTCCTTGCATATAAAAAACAGAACAAGAACACAGACAGAAAACAATATAACAATTTTCACAACCATTTCCTTCCTGTAATAATTCACAGTCATAAATAATATTTAAAAAAAAAAAAAAAAAAAAAAAAAAAAAAAAAATCAGCCTGAGAACAGAGTAACTGTAACTTCAGTCCAAAAAGTCCCGAAAGACTTAGGCAAAACTCGTATCATTTCACTTCCACATCTCCCTTTAACACTTGCAATTCATGCATAGTCAATCTTAATGCACTTTATACCTTCAAAAGCAGAGTAAATGCAATGACCGTAAAGTATAAGCCAATGAAGAGAGAGTACATCTTAAATCATATCCTCTATGATCAAAATTATCTATGGGTAAATATAAAGAACACCCTTACAAGTTACTGAATGAAAGAGTATGATCAAAAATAACTTTTCCTTTTTTTTTTTTTTTACAAAAATGGGGCAAGACAATAAGGAATCGCGTCACAAACCTGCTCAACAGGTGCCAAGGCCGACCAAACAATATTTCACGAGATAAACAATTTTGATTACTGTCTACTTATTCCTCATGGCACCATTAAATCACAGAGTAATTTGCGCTTTGTGACTTTCCGAGACAGTGAACCACAGCAGCTAAATGGACTCTCAGTGTCCAGGCTACAGCCAGTATTCCCAATATATCTTGTAATGTATTATAAATGTTTCTTTCTTTTCTTTGTAGCCCTTTTAAAAGTTAAATCTATCTTTATTTTCAAAATGAACAAATATATAGTTCTTCTGTCCTTTAAATAATATAAAATCTTCACATAATACTACATAGTTTTGATGTGACTTTATTTGTGCTGACATGCAAGCTTTGCGAAGACATGTTAACAGAATCACAATCCACCTCTGACATCCTTGACGCTGTTCTCTGCAACTGGCTTTCATTTGCAGGGTAACTGGACAGAGAATGTGAACTTGCACGGATTTTGTCAGTGCTTTTAGTTTTTCTTGACCGTGACCTTTTTGGTACTGGGCCCAGTGTCATAGGGGAGGAGACTGAATCCCTTACTGTGTCTGTCAACTCTTCCTTGATGTCATGTCTTAAAGAAATTTTTTGGACTGACTCAATTTTGTTAGATGTGAGACCTGAAATGTGAGACTTCACACTTGAAAGTGCTTTGGGGGTTCTGATATGTGCATTACCATCTCCATTTGAAATGACTGCCCTTGGTGCCAGCCCTATGGTGTCTGACTCATCGGATGGGTGTATGACAATGAAGTTGCGCTTGATTGTTCCATCAATGACCATGCTTCTTACACCGACTCTTTTCCCAAGGGACTCGAGCTGCATGTCATCACTCTCACTATGCAAGAGGACCTGATGCCTCATTCCTGCCTCTTTTCCCTCTTGGACTGAAGATCTGTCTCTATCCTTAGCTCTTCTTGAATGCAAAGATGAGGCACTCTTGCTCTTCTCTCGCTTCAGGGAGAACGTGAACACTCTGCCGTGCTCCTTCGTCTTGGTGGTTGGAGAGGCCGATCTGGTTCCCTTTGGAGCCACCGCCGGAGGTTCGGGGTCTGGGGGCAGAACCAGCGAGGAGTGACGGCCCTTGCTCGCTTCTTTGCTCTTGGGACTTCTGGGCGACCTTCTGGGACTCTTCTTGGGTGGAGTGGGACTTCGGACTGGCAGGTCGAGGAATTTGGTGGATTCTTCTGGATCAAAAGATTTGTTCAAGTCATTTGCAGAATCCTTTTTGGTCTGACCTTCTTCCTCTTTTCCTGTAGTAACTTGTAGGGGAAGAGAGGGAGTGCTAGCCCTTTCACTTGTCTTTGATGCATCTGGTGCAACTGTGGGTTTTTCCTCTTTTCCTGCTACAGACTGTTTGGCAAGAATCTGCCCCTCACTTCTTATGTCTATTTTAGGGGAAACAGGAGAAATTGCATCAACAAATTCTATGTCATCATCGTCATCCTCATCATCATCATCAGCAGGTATAACTGAAGCCTCAGATGGCTGAACCTTGAGAACAGTAGATTTAACATTTGACTCTAAGTCTGAGGCTTCAACAATTTTTAATTCTGTTCTAAAGATTTGAGAATATCTCTGGCTAAAGGGATCTTGACCAACCTTCTCCTGACAAGGAGAGGAAGACCCATTACTTCTGCGGCCAGGTGAGGTATCCAACAAAGGTTCATCCTTTTTAAGGACACTCTCTTTGTGAGATTCGACAACTGAATGTTCTATTTTTCTGCTTTCCTTGTCTTTGGCTACACCATCCAGCACAGGAGACTCTTGAGCTTTTGGTGATGGACACTCACTCCTATCTTCCACTTGCTTTTCAGCAGCACTATCACCTTGGTCTTCTCCACTCAACTCAATCTCTCTGCCTGTATCTTTGGCAGTTTCTTTAGCTGAATCTCCCTGTTTCTCAGCATGAGCCTGAACTTCATGCGTTTCATCCTCCTGCTCTTTAACAGACTTTTCCTGGTCATGGCTTTCGTCACCAATCTTTTCATTCTTCTCTTTATCAACTGATTTAGGCCTCTGTATGGGCAGGTCATAGTGGATGAAGCTCTTTCTGGTTTCATACTCTCCAGCCGGCAGTGGGGTGCCCTTTTCTTCCAAACTTACTTGCTGCTGCTTTTCCGTCACTTCCAACCTAGTTTCACTCCCCTTGGTCCCTCTGATAACTACACTCTGCTTGCCACTTTCACTCGTGGCTTCCTCATTGTCATCCGCAACACTGCCCTCACTCTCCTCCGTCTCCTTCAGGTCTTGCAATTCGCCGCTGAAGTTCTTGACCGCAACATCCAGCTCATCCTCCGTCTCGCTATCGTCGTCATCCCTCTCTCCAGCCTCTACTAAAGTATAATTACTTACTGAGGTTCTGCAACTGAGAGAAGGCCACTGTTCAGCGACCATGGAGAGCTCGCCATTTGAACTCTGGGACCTGCGGACGATGAGAGGAGTATTTCCATACTGACTCACCGAGGAGGACCTCCGTGTCCCAAATGTGAGGAAGCTCTTGGGATCGTCATGACCTTCCTGTAGGAGAGGAAACCCAAGAGAAAGGTCAATGGAAGTAATCTAGCACTAAGACCCCTTTAAGCTGGGTTTTTGCTGACTATCATAAAACATAAATAGCATAAAACAACAAAAAATTGGGAGCACTCATGGAAAAAAGAATTAGAAGAAGAAAAAATAAAAATTAAAAGAAGAAGAAGAAAAAAAAAAAAGGATTGGTCGAAAAAGACTACCCTTGATTTCTTGGTAAGCAAAATCCCTGCCTATAATGTCATATAAAAAGACCCACTCTAATTAACGTATCTTTCCCCTATGAAAAGTAAAGGCCAAAGAAAATTTTCCACCGAGCTATTTCCCTACTCACCTTAAATAACACAAGGGCCGTGTCTTTATATCGTAGCTTTATACCTGCTGTGTCCTCTGGGTATGTGTACTTGCGAGAGTCTTCCAGAAGCTCCTTCCTCCTTTCCTCAGCAGACACAGTGTCCACCATCTTTGCTTATTTCCATCATAATGCTGTCCTGGGAAGTAAAAAAATATATAAAATGAATGGAAGTTCACCAAATGATTTTTTTTATAATCCCAAATGCAAAAATATAACATCATTTCCCTTTTTCAAGGTAACAATACACTGTCTTTACTTCTTACAAAGATAAGTTTCTGATAATAATGTGGATGATTTTGGTTTTCTGCCTATCTATTCCAAAAGGTAAAAGCAAAGTTCCTTAATCTCATCAATTTTTTTTTTTTGTTTCATCTTCCTGCCTCACAAGAAGACATATTCCTAACAAATCCAGATTCTCAGAAAAAAGTGTTTCATTTGATACTAATATCCAGTGATGGTTAAAAGTAACTCAAGTTAAAGTTATAATGTGATCATGTGCACTCACAAGAGTAAAAGGTTGTGAACAAATTGGCAATTACATCTTCACACTCT